AAGAAAAGGAAGAATTTCAGAAGAGAAGCACGAAGACCCCTCCCCCAACCTTTACTGGCTGCGCTGCAGCACGCCAAGCTGTGGTCAGCCCAGCCCGGTGGGGGCTGCCAGAGTCCCTGAGACACAGGGTCATCTGCAGATCACCTGAGCAGAAGATGACCGAGGTACCAGTGTTGGACCCGCTGATTGCCACGAACAGAGAAACTTCTGAGCTGGGAGCCTGCACAAAGATCCCACCCCTACCCCTCATTCTCCTAGCAGAGAGGCACTATCCCACCAAATCCACTCAGTGGGAACCCCAGAACTACATGGGTAGCCCACAGAACGCCAGAGCAAGAAGACCTGCAAGGTCTTCTGAGTGCAAACAGACAAATCCCAGTGCTTAGAACCTGTGCGGAGCTCCCCCTCCCCCCTGGGCTGGAGGCCGGAGGCTCATCCTGTGGTGCTTCCTGAACAGCATCAACAAAGGCAGAGACAGGAGAAAAATGCAGAGCCACCACCACCTGGCCCAGCCCACAACCATCTCAACTAAACTCTGATTGCAGCAACCGGCAACCTACATCACACCAAAACAAGTAGCTCCAAGATGAGTACCCCACAGGGGACAGTATATCCTCAAGGGAGACCAGAGCTGGTGGGAACACCCAGACCCTGACTCAGACCCCTCCCCCAACACCTTGACCACAGGACCCATTAAAACTGGGAACTGTTTGAGAGCTCCACCAGCCTGTGGAGTACACCCAGCTGGCCAGGCTAGAGCAAGAGTGCCCCTGGAAGAGAGCTTAAATGCCCAAGCCAGGAACAGCGCCCCTGGGTCACAACAGCCAACAGTGGAAGAAACTTGAACTGTGTACTCCAGGCTGCGTAACCCAGGAGGGATACACAGCAGCACAGGTCCAACTGGTGTTCCCCAGGCAGGGGGCCAGGACCAGGTCTGGGGACCAGTGCCTGAGCAACACAGCCAACTCCTCCCAACTGAAGTCAGAAGCTGAGCATACGCCTCCACAGAGGGGGGAAAACGGAACTGCACCCCCGGTGAATCAAGCCTATGACAGCAAAAGACCTGGGTGTCCAGGGCAAGAGAACCAGAAGCCCAAACCCCACCAGAACCCGACCCATATATCTCAGGCAGGGAATTGGACAGCTCAGGCCACCAGCACCTGATAATAGGAGCTCAGCCTGGTAAGATGGCTCAGCGGTAGAATGCTTGTCTTTCATGCATCAGGCCCTGGATCTGATTCCTCAGCACCACATAAGCAGGAAGGGCCAGAAGTGTTGCTGTGGCTCAAAGGTTGGGTGCCAGCCTTGAGCTGAAGAGTTGGACAGCGCTCAGGCCCAGAGTTTAGACCCAGAACTGGCAAAAACAAAAAACCCATCAGGAGCCCATAGCAGAAACACTTCTAGACAAATTATAGTAAAAATAATAGATCTGAATAATAAGGAAACAATCTTGCATGCAGCAAAATGATGGAGCTATACTACAATGGGGAAAAAAATTAGAATCGCTGCAGATCTCTCCATACAAACACTGAATGCAAGAAAGGCCTGGGAAAGTACCATACGAGCCCTAAGAACCAATAACTGCCAACCCAGACTGATATACCCAGCAAAGCTAGCATTCACATTTGATGGAGAACTGAAAATGTTTAATAGTAAAGAAAAACTAAGGCCGGGTGCTGGTGGCTCACGCCTGTAATCCTAGCTACTCAGGAGGCTGAGATCTGAGGATCGCGGTTCAAAGCCAGCCCGGGCAGGAGAGACCGTGAGACT